GCGCAGTCAGATACAGTGTGAGAAGTGCTGAAAGCTCTCTAGTTCATCGCTTGAGTAACGCAGTGTTTTCTTCTTCTTGGCGTACATAATGATAGACGTGAAGTTGAATAGGTTCTCACATGATGCTCCTTCTCGTAAAAGCGCTAGATTTGGGTTAAAAATAGTTGAAGGAAAATTACATAAACGCTTTCGTACGCTCAAATGAATGCGAGAAACATTTCTGTTATAATAAGAGTCATCTGCAAAAAAAGAAGAGTAAGTCCGAAGCTACAAGCTACCATCCGAGATTGAATTGAATTACCATCTAGGATTGAAATTCAAAGATTTGAAAGGAGATAGTTCAGTAGAAGTCTAGTGGTTGAGTAGTGGTTCTAGAAGTATTCACATTTGAAGCAAATTGGATGGTAGTTTGTAGCTCCAGATTGACATGCTCTTTTTTGCAAATGATTCTTATTATAACAGAAATGTTTCTCGTAGAGTCTAGAAACAAAAGCTTCACCCAGTAAACTGTTTCTACTGTTCGGCGTTATTACTTACTTGTTTTTGGAGACGTTTTTTGTAAATGTTTTATGAAATCTAGGACTTATAGTAGGCTATTTTTTCTCCTGCAATTGACCATATGTGATGGTATGTGACGTCGTATAGGCGTAGCCAAAAAGGCTTTAGTCATCACGTATCTTGCACTTTGTTCACTGTTGTTTTCATCGGTTCTTCTCAGCCATTTTCGTTTTTCATACTCATCTTTTCATTGTGATTTCAGTCCTTCATGTTTCATCTTTCCTTCGTCAGCTGGTCATTTTTGCATAAGCTTGGTTTCCATCGATGCAATTTTTTTGCTTTGGTCATGAGTCGGAGTGGTAATGCTTTTGGATGTGTGTGAGTGTTTCTGACACCGAAAATGCACCCTGGGGAGGGTGACGCTTCTCTTCGCATGTTGAACGACTGGGGTGGTTGACCGATCCCTCGAGGGTTTAGTGGCTAAACATTCATTATTCTTACCGCCGGAAATCTTGTGAGCATGACACACCATTGTTAGCGAAGGAACTTCATTTGACTTGCGTCACTTTAGAGCTTGTCAGGCAAGTTAGTTGTTCTGACAGGTTCGGGTATGGTCGTGTGTTTCGAAACCGATCAAACAGCCATTGCGGTGTCCAGTTGGTAACCCTCACCCCGTAAAGTTGAAGTTCTTGGAGCATTACCCAGTTCGCGAGCTTCCGTTCGAAGTGTGATAAAATACTCATCTGAAAATGGTGGTTCTACTTAACATGTATGGTTTCACCTGTAGCTTGTAGTTTGCTTTCGAGCGGAACTAAAAGCCACTGAATCACAAATACAGACATATAATTTCCCCGGATCCGAAAATCGCTCTTTTGAGGAAAACATAGTGGTAAATAAAAGTCGGCTACAAGAAGTCGTTGATAGTATTCAAATATCAGTTTTTTATATTGTGGAAGCGAAGCTTTCGTCGATTTTCTGTTGGATTTCTGTAGCCCTGAGTGATACTAAATGGTAAAACGCACTAATAGCAGACACCTGGTAAAAATTCGTGGTGGAAATCATAAATGTTTCAGTCTCAACCCAAGCTATTTCAGAGTTTTGCTCGCACACAACGATCTCAGTCACGTAATGTGACAGCTTATCGAGCTGAACTTGGAGTTCTTCTGGGCATCTCACGCAAGAAAGTGTTGACCTTTCCATCGCATTTGCTCTCTGCTCGTCCAAAACTATCGGTGAACCCATTCGCTCTCACAAGAAACGGTACCCATGGTAGGTTGAACAAATTTATGGCTTTTTTGATACCTAGTCGACCTTGAAGAGATCGACGTTGGAAATGGGAATTCATTGGACTTTTGAGGGCGGCCAGAATTTGCTTCGCAGGGATAGAGGAAAAGCTACCAGTAGAACTGTTTGCAGACTTTCATTTAACCTTGAGTGTTCATCTGAGTCTTCCCAAATAGTTTATAGTATAGGACGTAGCTGTCTTTCTTTTAGCGTAATCATTTCTTTTTTGGATTAAGTGCAATGCTTGCTGGAAACGTTCAGTATTTT